TGGGAGCTGGGAACTGAACCCAGGTTCTCTGAAAGAGCATCCAGTGCTCTTAACCACTGAGGTATCACTCTAGCCCCCTATGCTCTCTTTTTAAACTTTTTTTATTGATTTATTTTTACTTTATGTGTATGAGTGTTTTGCCTACATGTCTGGGTACATCCATGTCATGCAATGCCCATGGAGGCCAGAAGATGGCATTGGATCCCTTGGAACTGGGTTAATAGATATTTGTTAGCCTCCATGTAGGTGCTAGGAATCGAACCCAGGTCCTCTGTAAGAGCAGCCTGTGCTCTTAACCACTGAGCTATCTCTCTAGCCCCTTTTTTTGTTTTTTGAGACAGTCTTATGTAGCTCAGACTGGCCTCAAACTGGCTGTGTAGTCAAGGCTGGCCTTGAACTCCAAATCTCCCTGCTTCCACCTTCTAAGTGCTAGGATTACAAGGGTGTATCACCATTCCTGATACTGCTTACCTTTTTAAAAATTCAAGTGAGTTGGTGCATGCCTTTAATCTCAGCACTTAGGAGGCAGAGGCCAGTGGATCCCTTATGAATTTAAGATCAGTCTGGTCTTCATAATGAGTTTCAGGTCAGCCAGCTACATAGTGAGACCCTGTCTCAAAACAAACAAGTAAATAGTTCCTTACCGTAGAAGACTCAAAGCCAAGCATGGTGGCGCATACCTTTAATCCCAGCACTTGTGAGGCAGAGGCAGGCGGATCTCTGTGAGTTCAACGCCTGGGCTATAGGGAGACCCTGTCTCAAAATGACCAAAAAGAGAAAAAAGAAAAGAAAGACTCAAAAGAAGCAACATGAGTCTGTATAAAGTCTCTGCATTTTAACAAGATCTCTGGGTGAGGATTCTGCTCTTTGTTTTTGTTTTTGAGACAGGGTCTCACTATGTAGCCCTGGCTGGCCTGGAACTCACCATGTAGAACAGGCTGACCTGGAACTCACAAAGATCTGCCTGCCTCTGCCTCCTGAATGCTGGGGTTAAAGGCATACAGTGCCACACCTGGCTTTTTTAAAAAGATTATTTATTTTAGTGTGTCCATGTGAGTGTATGTGTGAGCATGTAGAGGCCAGAAGAGGACTTTACGTGTCTTCCCGTATCGCTCTCCGCCTATTCCTTTGAGGCAGGATCTCTTCTTGAACTTGAGGCTTGTGTTTTCTCAGCTAGACTGGCAACCAGCAAGCCCCAGTGATCTTCCTGACTCTACTTCCAACAGCACTGGGGATACAGGCCTCTGAAGGACATCCATCTTGTTGTGTGTGTGCTAAGATTCCAAATTCAGGGTCCCCATAATTGCATGGCAAATGCTCTTAAAAATTGAGTCATCTCTCCAATCCCTTTGGTTTTTTACTTAAAACATTTTATTATTTTTATTTTATGTGTAGGAGTGTGTTGCCTGCATGTATGTAAGTGTACCCATGTTGTGCAATGCCCACAGAGGTCAGAGGAGGGCTTTGGATCCCCTAGAACTTTGGTCAGTGAGGGGTTGCAGGCAGTTGTTAGCTGCCATGTGGATGCTGGGAATCGAACCCAGGTCCTCTGCAAGAGCAGCCAGTGCTCTTAACTGCTGAGCCATCTCTCTAGCCCCCTTCCCTTCATTTTGTTTCTGAGACTGAGTCTCATGTAGCCCAGGCTAGCCTTCAATTTGCTATGTGGTTAAGGATGATCTTGATCCTCCTGTCTTCATCTCCCAGGTGCTGGGATTTAGGTGAGCGCCATCACACCTGGCTACCCTGTTTTCTTAGGAATAGCAGCCATTTTCCTGGCATTAAAGCTAACAGTCATGCTGACACTGTTCTGCCTTCAGAGTCAGAGAGGCTGGCTTTGGATTTCATTTTCCTCATCTGCCAAGTGAGTGTGTGAATCCTCACTTCAGCCAGTTATGATGGCATACACTGCCAGTTATATCAACTACTTGGACAGCTGAGATGGGAAGGTCACCTGATCCAAGGAGTTTGAGGCTAGTCTGGACACCATAATACGACCCATCTTCAAACAAGGCAGTGGAGAGAGGGCTTGGGGGGTGGTTTAGTGATAGAGCAACTTGCCTATCTTGTATGAGTCCCTGGGTTTGATTCTTAGCACCACACACACCCAGAAAGATTATTGCTACCATATAGAAGGGCTGCAGAGGTGAGATGAGGTGGACACGTAGCTCCAGGAGCTTAATGTGTTCTGGGGTCTTCTTGTTCCAGTGTTCCACATTCCAGGCAGTGCTGTAGCTGTGAGAACCAGAGGAACAAGTCATGCTAACACTCAGAAGACAGGTGATGATCAGCAAGGTCATCTCATCAGTGAGAGTGCAAGGAGGGAACAGAAGATGGGGAGGCAACAGCTCTGAACCAGATAGGCCTGGGGAAGGGTTCCCTGAGATAAGGAAGGCTTCTCTGAGGAGGTGACCTTTGGACTATGACCTGAACAAGGAGGAGGGAGCAGCCACAGGATGACCTGGGTGATGCAGGGATGGGGTCCTGGGGGGAGAAAGAGATGTGGCTGAGAAAGTATCAGGGTGAGTGGCAGACAGCATCACTGAGACTCAGACCTCCACTGTGAGGAACCTGGAGCCCTCTGTATTTCTCTCTTCTTGTACATTCATGATTCTGGCTTCTCCTGGCATCAAGCCTTCAGCACACACACACACACACACACACACACACACACACACACACACCCTACTCAGAAGAGCTAGGAAGGCTGGAGGCTGGGCATAGTTTCATTGTTACTAGAAACTGACAAGTGACATGGCTTTGCCACCAGCTAGAACTTTCTGGACTGGAGCAATGCTCACTGCAGCTGACATCAGAGAGACCAAGCAGCTGGTGCCTGTGGTTAATTGAGAAATAGCCTCCTTGGGGCTCAGCACTAGCTTCTTTCCAGGTCTTTAGACGACCAGGCCTCTTGTATCAGCCTGGCCAGCTCCACCTGAGGCTTGGATACAGGAATGACCCAGCAGATGCTCAGGTGCTTGGAAAGCCCACTAGCTCTGTCCACCTGCTGATTAGAATGAAGTACTGAGTTCCTTAACTCTGGCTTAGGGTTTTGCCCCCATAGGAATAATTTCAAATGTATTAGGGATTGTAGTCTGCGTGAAAAGGTTAAACCCCCTCCCTCCCCTTTATAAAGACTTGGCTGGGCATGGTGGCGCACACTTTTAGTCCCAACACTCCAGAGGCAGAGGCAGGCGAACCTCTGTGAGTTCAAGGCCAGCCTGGTCTACATAATGAGTTCTAGACCAGTTGGAGCTACAGGGATACCCTGTCTCAAAGAGACAAAAATAAATAGTCAATTTGGGTTCAAAGAACAAAATGCAGGCAGCTACTGTCAACCAAGACACCTATGTAAAACAGCAAGGTTCGGGGTTCACTCCATGAGCAATCACATTGCCCTGGAGAGAGTCAGCCATAGGACACCTGCCAGTGGCCACATGATCTCAGGCACGTGGACCTTTGAACCTTTGCTTCCTCATCAGTAAAGTGAGGATAGTAATCCTGCCTTCCCAGGACTTCCCAGGGCTTCCTAGGGCTTCCCAGGGCTTCCCAGGGCTTCCCAGGGCTTCCCAGGGCTTTCCAGGGCAGGTCATCTGTGACACACATGGGAGGGGTAATGATTTGCTTAATCAGTCATTTATACTTTAGTGTAAGCAAGTTTCAGATCCTTTCCTGAGACCAGGTGTAGGTCAGAAGATCTTGCAAGATCTCAAGAGAATCTGAGAAAAGTTGAGTCAGGGCCTGTCTTAGAGTCACATTCATATTCTGGCCCCAGGCTGAGGCTCAGCTTCCTCTTCCTAGGGGAAGGATGTTGACCGGTGACTCCGAGTGATCCAGGAAGTGGAGAAGGAAGTGACAGCTGTGGTGGAGAGTGAGACAGTCCTAGACATCTCCTTTGTCTCAGCCAGAAACACAGGCTTATCCAGCAGAAGCTGTACCTGTTCGACTGTCTCTTGATGAGCAGTCATCAAGAGCTGATGTACACCTGTAGTCCCAGTACTTGGTAGATGGAGACAGGAGGGTCTTGAGTTCAAGGCCAGCCTGGGTTACATTTAAAAAAAAAGGACCTGGGTTTGATTCCCAGCACCCACATGGTGGCTATCAACCATCCATAGCTCATTACAGGGGATCCCATGCCCTCTTCTGGTTTCCACAGGCATTGCATGACACATAATATTAAAAAAAAAAAATTCTGTTTCCATAAAAAGAAAAACTGCCTGTGGCAGACCGGGTGCTGGGATACATGAGAAACTCACTCCATCTCTCCTGCTTCCTTTCTGTGTATTACAACAGCTCCCCTTGGTTTGAAGCTAAATCCAGGTTTCAGTCAACCACTTCAGCAAACAGGCCCTTCCTTCCCAGTGGCATGAGCGGTGGCCCCGAATCCAGCAAGAACACCTGCAGGAGCACCTCAGCCCACTGAAACTGCATCCTTTCCTCCTCTGGTCTGCTTCCCTTGTCTCATTTCCACACATATTCCTCTGGGTTTGCTGGTCTTCATTAGCAAGATCTCCCAACTCATTTGGGTATAAGCCTTCTACCCTAGGTCAGATTTTTGCTCATATTTCACTGGGATATGCCAGGGCCTGAATCTAGTGATAGTCTCAGAGAGTGACTTAGCTTGCCCAAGGTCATACAGCTCATGGGTGGCTCCAAAGCCTGAGTGCTTAATTCATACATTCTTTTCACCTTGCAAGCCAGCACCCTGCTCATCCCTTCCAGGGTCATATGGCCCCATCCCTCATGCTGCTGCTATGGGTGCTGGGGTGGGTGCTAGGATGGGCGATGGAAAGGGCCTTGTCAAAAGGTCACAGGCTGGGGACAGAGTGAAGCTGTTCTCTGCTCTGGGCGAAGCCAGGACATGGAACTCCTTGAACCCCAGTGCTCAGAGGAGTGTGTTCACCTGTGCAGTGCCCTGTCCCCAGCCCAGGTTTCCCTGGGCTTCCTCCCCATCCAGCCTTAGGGAAGGGACCAGCATTGAGGGAGATTCTCTTTTCTTGCAGGGAAGTTCTGGCACATAACTGACTTGCATCTTGACCCCAGCTACACAGTATCTAAAGACCCCCTCCAGGTATGCCCATCAGCCGGCTCCCAGCCAGTGCCCAGTGCGGGCCCCTGGGGTGACTACCTCTGCGATTCTCCTTGGGCCCTCATCAATTCCTCCATCTATGCCATGAAGGAGATTGAGCCACAGCCAGACTTCATTCTCTGGACGGGGTAAGAACAATCCTGTGCAACATGCCAGATAGGCCCTCTACCAGCCTCATACCTTTTTATCCTCATTTCAGCCCAATGTCCAGGCCTTACATAATTTGCCCAAGGGACCCTGACTGATTCCAAAGACTGCTCTCAACCTCGAGTCTCCCAACCTCTGCATACACAGGTGCACTGAGGCTGGAGACATGGAGAACTCCTAGGTTTTAAGCTGGAATGAACACTAAGCTGCTCTTTTGGAAGCTAAGACCTAAGCTCAAAAGATTCAAATACAGGGAAGAAAGAAGGGACCTGGACTGAAAGTGGTCCAGCACTGGCCAAGCATCCTAGTCAGCTGCTGTGTATCCTTGGGCTGTCTGGAGCTCTGGAGAGTGCTTACTAGTCAGTGTGCTGCTGAGCACGGGATGGGGGATAACTTGGGGGGTGCTTTCCCTCGGTCATAGAGACTTAGTTTCTGTTGCTTCAAGGATGCTGTGAGAATTGCTGCTTTCCTGGGACTTTGCCCTCTTTCCCTTATTCGCTCCTTCAGTTAGTAGGTCAGCCTGTCACATGGTCAACCCTGGGGTAGACATTGAGGTGGTAGACACAGGAACTTGCCTTCAAGGAGCTCTAAGGCTTGCGGGCCATATAGAAAAGCCTATCAACCATTACATCTCAGCAAGGAGAGAGGGTCACCTGGGGGGATGTGGGAACTGCATGGGGCACCTGACTCATGTGGCAGGACTGGAAATGACTTCCTATAGGAAGTAGTGAATCAGGAAGCTGGTGAGGAAAGCCAGGGGCTTGGTCTGGATGCTCTGCTAGTGTCAAAGGACACTTCTAAGAGGTAGGATGATGCTCTTGGCTATCCTTCACTGTGATGTGGGTGTGACAGGAATGATCCTCCGTCCCAGTTGGTGGGTGGCAGGGGAGGGGTGGCTATACTCTTAAGGGATGTGCATTGTCTTAGGAGGGACCTGGACAGTCCTCGGTTCTTTGGGTCCAGGAATTACTGGAAGATAGGAGTGAGCTTTAGTTCATGACTTTGAATTCCCTCCAGGGGTCTTGCTGGGTGTGCCTCTGATATCTCTGAGAAGGGGTCCTTGGAGAAATGTATAACACTCTGAAATACAGAGTCCTTCTAGGAAAGGCACTGAGTAATTCATGATCCTTTCCATATGCAACATTTTTCTAGATGCCTCTGGAACCTCGTAGAGGTGAATGGCACTGGATGAGAGATCTCTGGGGCCTGTTATAGCTCTCCAGTCATAAAGAAATTTGATAGGACATCTTGGAGGGAACTGCAGTCCTTTGGAAGATATTTTGTAGAAATTGGATGTGTTTTCTATCAGACAATTAAGGGGGAAAAAGTTTGGGTCCCAAGGAGTTGTCAAGGCTAAACAGTTCCTCTTGCTGCCCTAATAAGGTCTTGGAGATAGAGAAGGATATAATGTAGCCTAGCACAGGCTCTGGGGCCAGGATGACTGCATTTCCTCCTGCCATTTTATAGTTTTATACACAGATACAGTAACTTTTCTGTGCCTTGGTGTTGCACGAAATTTTCTTCCATTTTCCCTTTTTGGGAGGCATGCCCTCCCAAGGCCCCAAGGCTCACAGATTAACATAAGACATTTTTAGTTTGAGTATTGCATGGTTCTTTATGGTAGGGAGTGAGAGGATGACTTACAAGAGCGTGGTGTGCTCCGATCGCTTTCACACCCTGCCCACAGTCTCCCTGAGCTTTTGCCCGCCCCAGGTCTATCTCGCTTCCATGCTTGCAGGATGCACCCGCCATTTGCCCCAGAGGCCACACACACTTCCTTTTTCCCATTCTAATCTTGCCACCACGATAACTCTGCTGGTTGCTAGGCTCCACCCTTCTTCCCAGGGTGCCCTGTGCTTGCTGGTAGCTCTCGCTTTTTGGAGGAATAAGTGCTTTCTGGGCTACACTCCAACCCCTTTCTTCTGGCTCTTACAGTCTTTCTGCCAATTTTCTGAAAGGGTCTCTGAGCCTTAGAAGGGGTGACATTTGCAGGGTGATCTCTCTTGTATCATGGTGAGACAGCGACTTCTTGGGCCTCCCCATCATTCGTCTTCAAGATGTGGTGGCTGTCTATCACAGTGGTGTTTCCCCTACTATAAAGACAAATGGAAGGAAGTAGACATCTAAACAAACATGAATGTAAATACAAATGCCTAGAAGATATCCCAGTAGGTGTGCTGTATTCATTAAACAGTATACTTGCAACAACTTGCCTGCTGGGGTCTGTAGCCTTCTCTGACACAGGGGGTTGGCCTGGTCTATAGTACTAGATGTGTGTTCCATCCTAGAAGCAGGCCTTATCCAATTAGAAATTTGTCAGTTGTACGTATGTTAGTCAAACCATTATTGCACTTGCAGGCATTGCTTGGCATGTCCATAGTGTGCAGCATGTGGGGTCCATTGTTGAGTAGACTCATAGGGGATTCTTTCTTCCCCAACCATCTGCATAGCACCTTCTGGTACTATGAAAGCCATCCATCCAGTGGCATGGAGTTTTTGGCTTAGTCTCAGCTCCATCTCTTCTTCCCCTGTGCTCACATCATGGAGCATCTTCAGCAACATGGCCTTACCGACCTTTCTAGTGTGCAACCGACATTAGTGGCAATAGCACTGGTGAATTTGAGGACCTCTAGGATCTCTCTGACCAACAGCTCATAGAGGGACAGCCCACCCCTGGTACTGTAGTTTTTCTTAACAGTTGCATAATTTTGGGAGCCTCTGTTTTTATCTTACCTAACCATAAAATTCCCAAGAATCTTACAGCTATAGCTGGCCTTTGTTTCTTCAGATATCTTTCAAATTGGTTTCACACCTGTAAAACACTCAAAGGTTAACATCATATATTAAATCAATCATAGACAAAGTCTAACATAGCATGGAAAAGTTTTATCCATTCATATTAATTGCTTTCTCCATAGATCTTTGCTAGGTACCACAGCATGGGTAAGAGGCATTAATTTGGTTCGTTCTTTACTATCTTTAGTTATCCCTTTGGAGTCATTCTGAATTCTGGGGATCTTACATGGAGTCTCTTTGTAGTCTTTTATCCTTGATACACTTACAGGTGCTGGCTCTAGTTGCCTGACCCTGCACCAGGCTAAGGAGGCTGGGGGTTTCTCTTGTCCCTGCTGCACTTGTTGATTCCCTGAGTCAGGTAGGCCCTGGGACTGCCTCCTAACTGTAGCCATATCTGTTGTCTCTCCATTGACCCATATCTGGCTGCTGAGGGAGGCCCTGGTGGGAAAAACTGTCTCTACCACTAGTTTAGCCTTTATCAGGAGAGAAATGCACCTTATTTAAGCTTTGGGGATCCTTAACCACCCCTGGGACAGCTTTTATCCTTTGAATGCCTTTTGTAAACTGTTCTTCTGGTTTTAAAGCCCTCCAGAAACTCCTTAGTACCTAATTTGGTTTTCTATCAATTTTTTCTTTGGGAATTTGGGCTCTACATAAGTCTTGCCACGTTTGTCTTTGAGTAACCCAAACGGACCATTTCTTCTGTCTGGTCTTTTTTATCTCTCTTGCAGGGTGTTCCGTTGTTCTACAGACACATTTTACATGCTGGTCAGAGTCGCTTAGATCTGCAAAAGCCTCTCTCACTTTACAAAGATCCTGTCCCATTAAAGGACTTAGCAAAGCCATTAAAGCTCTGTACCATTCTTGAGGTCCCAGTTGAATTAAGCTTTCCTTTATATCTCTGGTGAACAGTCTTATCTGGCCCAGTGAACTGGATATCATATATTGCTTTTCTCATACCTACTTCTCTCAGTAATGCCTGTCCCTCCTTTATAGTCCTCTAGCCCCTGTTAGTTATGGGAGTTTCCATTGGTGATGACCATGTATCTTTAATACTTTGCACCAGCCATCCCGTTAACAACTGCTACCCCCAGAATTGGCCTAGGTTGAACAGCCTATGTCACAAGGACGGATGTGTGGTTATATAACTCAGCTGTGAAGCTTCTGAAGGATTTAGACTGATGTTATTTGCTCCTATGTCCCATACCCTCATGAGCCATGTGGTGAGGGGCTCTTTCATTGCTTGCTTTTAAGGTTTTTCTAGTTTTAACAGCTCTAGTATGGAATATTTTCTAGCTACAATACCATTAGCTCTTTCCCCTTTTTGTATCAAAGGTTGAATCTGAGGAGCAGCTTTAACTACTTTTATTTTTTAAATTTTTTTATTTTTTTGGTCTTTTTGAGACAGGGTCTCCCTATAGCCCCAGCTGTCCTGGAACTCACTATGTAGACCAGGCTGGCCTAGAACTCATAGAGATCCTCCTGCCTCTGCCTCCCGAGTGCTGGGATTAAAGACGTGTGCTACCACGCCCAGCTAGCTACTTTTAGGTCGCTTCTTTTTTCATTACTGTCTTTTTTCCTGGGTCATTTAACTTCACACAAGTTAAAATGTCCTGTTTTTTTTTTTTTTTTTCTCTCAAGCTCTTGGGCTGAAACTGAGTCTGCCAGTAACTCCCTAGCTTTTTCAGGTTCCCCAGCCTTGGGCAAATCTTTTATTATGCATAGTGGCACGCCCTGTCCCTGGGTTCTCTGCTTGTGTCCCCTTTGAGAATTTTTTCTAGGTTTTCTATGACCTTTAAAGAGTTGTCAGACCCATGTGGCGGCAGACCCCATTTTTTTTAGCAACTGCACTATTTCTTCACATTTACAACACAGCTGTGGCCTTGGGATTTTTCCCTTTGTTTCTGTCAGCATCTGTGTCACCTGCGTCATTCTAATTACATATTTCATGATCCATTGTATAATGCACGTGAGCATAGCTAGCCCCCTTAAGCCTATGGGGTTTGGCCCCTCTCTCCTCTGGGTTCTGCCAGCTTCTTGTGATGGGTCACATTATCTCACAGGACTCCTTGTGAGGATCCATCTCTGCCTTTCTGGATTTGGGAATCTGAGCCCAGCTCCCTTTTGATTGGCTCACCAGACACTGCTGGAACTGGCTGCTGTCCCAGCCCTACATCCCCAAGTTCTTGGACTCCTGTGGTTTGATTATCTGGCTGGACTATGCCAATTGTCGCACTAAATTTTCTTCCCTTTTCCCTTCTTGGGAGGTTCCATGCATGCCCTCCCAAGGCTCCAAGGCTCACAGATGAACATAAGACATTTTTAGTTTGGGTAGTGCACAGTCCTTTATGGTAGGGAGTGAGGGGATGACTTACAAAGAAACCACTCAGTAGCACTACCCACAGTCTCCTTTAGCTTTCTCCTGATCCTGGTGGGCCCGCAGTCTCACCCCAGGTCTGTGAATGCCCCATCTCACTTCCATGCTTTCAGGATGCCCCTGCCATTCACCCCTATGGCTGCATACACTTCCTCCCCCCCTTTCTGATAGGTAGGAATGTTGGAGAGAGCGAGCAGCGGTGCGGATGGAGGAGGCACCGAGGCACAGATGGAATTCTCAGCAGGATACAGATTTATTTCACACGGGGCACCTTTCCCTCGGGGAAGGGAAAGATGTCAGTTTTTTTTAAGGGAAGGGAAGGGAAGGGAAGGGAAAGATGTCAGGGAAGGATGAGATGTCAGGGAAAGATGTCCGGGGAAGATGTCCGCCCATGGGTTGTGAGCTGGGACTTTATATATGGGGGCTTTAGGGTGTGGAAGGGGGGAATGTTTGGGGGAGAAATCAGGGAGGGGGAAGCAGGAAAAGCCTGGCTCCATTCAGTCTGCCAGGTGGGATTAGGATCTTGAAGTGTTTACTTTTTCTCTCTTAAGATAAGAGAAAAGCTTGTTGTGATAAACAGCTTCTAAAATCTCTGGTTAACAGGTAGAATCTGCTTATCTTATCTTTGGAGGTCAGAGGAAAGGCAGGCTGCTTCTCAGCAGAGTTTGTTTCCCTTGACTCCAAAGGTCAAGGTGAGGTCCCTGTTGGGGAGGGGAGAAACTGCTGCTATTTGGAACCCTAACACTTTCCAATCTTGCTGCCAAGCTAACTCTGCTGGTGGCTAGGCTCCACACTTCTTCCCAGGGTGCCCTGCACTCACCCATAGCTCATGCTTTTTGGAGGAATAAGTGCTTTCCAGGCTACACTTAGTTTCTTTCTTTTGAAGACTTTTTTTTTTAGCTTTTAAATCATGCGCGTGCATGTGTGGGTATGTGCACATGAGTGCAGGTGCCCACAGAGCCCAGAGGCATCTGATTCCCCAGAACTGAAGTTATAGGCAGTTGTGAACCATCCAACATGAGAGCTGGGAACCAAACTTGGGTCTTCTGGAAGAGCATTGCATATTCTGAACTGCTGAGCCATCTCTCTAACCCCTGTATTTTGGTTTCTTTATCTGTCATATGGACTCAACAATAGAAACTATGTTGTAGGGTTTTTATGGGGACAAAAATCAGTGAATATGTCTACTGTATTGGCTTTTTTTTTGTTGCTATAACAAATTACCTGAGCCTGGGTGCCTTATTATCTTGTAGTTCTGAAGATTCAAGAACACGGTGCTGGCCAGGCGTGGTGGCACATGCCTTTAATCCCAGCACTTGGGAGGCAGAGGCAGGCAGATCTCTGTGAGTTCTAGGCCAGTCTGGTCTACAGGGAGACCCTGTCTCAAAAAGACCAAAAAAAGAGTACAGAACATGGTGCTAGCATCTGCTCACCCCTTCTGAGGGCCTTCTATATCACAAAGTAGATGGAATTGTGGGGAATGTACATGCAAGAAAGAAAAAGCAGTCTTGTGGCAGGACCAGAAGCTAGAAAGACTTGTGAGCCAAGCTTGCTCTAGGTTTTTTTGTTTTTTGATCTTTTTGAGACGGGTTCTCCCTGTAGCCCCAGATGGCCTGGATTTGCTGTGGAGACCACGCTGGCCTTGAACTCACAGAGATCCACCTGCCTCTGCCTCCCGAGTGCTGGGATTAAAGGTGTGCACCACCATGTCTGGCCAGCTTGCCCTTGTTATAATAATCCACCTTCTCAGGAATTAAGCAGGGTTCTACTCCAACGAGGACTACATGAATCCTTTGGTCCACCCTGCCATCACCTAATCACCTTCAACTACTTAAAGTTTCTATTCCTCCCAAGATCAGCATACTGAGAATCAGGCTTTCAGCACATGAACCCTTAGAGTTCCTCCTTAAACTGTAACCGTGCCGTAACAGCTGTACTACAATGCACCCGGCATAAAATAAGCCTCTGTGAACCCCTAGTTGCACTAAAAATTGCTATTAAACTGATAAACTTCTCTGGACAGCAGCTATGTCACTCAGCCTGGTCCACTGAGGCCTTAGGATTTAGATTTCCTTGGATTCTACCTGTCCCTCAAACCCCACCTACTGCCCTTTCCCTTCCTTCTTCCCTCATGTTTCTGAGCACTTTGAAATGAACCAAGAGTTTAGGTCAGTTGAGTGAGGGACGAAATGGGCCTGCGGCAGGTCCTGGGCCTGCCCTAGAAAAAAATACATGAATCTAGTTCCAGTCTTCTTAGAACTGTCTAGGGATGGGCCTATGGACGGCTTAGTGGGTGAGAGTGCTTGCCACCAACAATAACATACACACACACACACACACACACACACACACACACACCCTACTAATAAACTATGGGCTGGAAGCCGGGCATGGTGGTGCACGCCTTTAGCTCCAGCACTTGGGAGGCAGAGGCAGGCGGATCTCTGAGAGTTCAAGGCCAGCCTGGTCTACGAAGCAAGTTCCAGGTCAGCTGGGGCTACAGGGAAACCCTGTCTCAAAAAAAACAGAAAAGAAAAAAAATGGGCTGGAGAGATGGTTCAGTGGTTAAGTGCTGGCTGCTCTTGCAGAGAACGTGGAGTTTGATTCCTAGCACCTACATGGAGGCTAACAACTGTCAGTAACTCCAGATCCTGGGGATCCAACAACTTCTGGTATCCATGGGCATTGATTGCATGCATGTGGCAGAACACTCATACACATAAAAATAAATAGATAAATAAATAAATATTTTATTTATTATTTTTATTTTGTGTGTATCTCAGCGGTTAAGAACACTGACTGTTCTTGCAGAAGACCCGGGTTCAAATCCCAGCACCCACATGGCAGCTAACAACTGTCCCAGGGGATCCGACAGCCTCTTCTGATCTCTACGGGCATTGCACAACATGAATGCACTTACCTACATGTAGGCAATACATGCATTCACATTAAAAAAAAAAGTGTAATGAGACTAAGGTGTAACTATATGCTACTTGAATTTTTTTTCTTTATGTCTTTTTGAGACAGGGTCTCCCTGTAGCCCCAACTATCCTGAAACTCACTATGTAGACCAGGCTGGCCTTGAACTCACAGAGATCCACCTGCTTCTGCCTCCCAAGTGTTGGGATTAAAGGCATGTGCCACCACACCCAGCATAAATAAATATTTTAAGAAGAAAAAAATAATAACACCTGACATGATGGCATACGCTTTTAATCCCAGACTCAGGAGGCAGAGGCAAGCAGATCTCTGTGAGAATGAGGCCAGCCTCAGGCTGGTCTGCATAATGAGTTCCAGGTGGATTGAGACTAGGGAGACTCAAAAAAAAAAGGGCTGAAGAGATGGCTCAGCAGCTAAGAGCACTAACTGCTCTTGCAGAGGTCGCAGATTCAAATCCCAGCACCCACATGGCAACTAACAACTGTCTGTAACTCCAGTTCCAGGGGATCTGATGCCCTATTATGACCTAAATGGGCATTGCACGGCACAGGTGTACTTTACATACATGCAGGCAAAACACTCATACACATAAGAAAAATAGAAAGAACAGGGCCTGAAGAGATGGCTCAGCAGTTAAGAGCACTGATTACTCTTGCACAGGACCAGGGTTCTATTCCCAGCACCCACATGGCAGCTACGAACCGTCCTTAACTCCAGTTCCAGGGGAATCTGAAGACCTCTGCACCCAGGGGCACTTATGGCCATGCAGGCGATACACTCATACACATAAAACAAAAATGATAAATACAATTTTTTTTTGTCTTTTCAAGACAGGGTCTCCCTGTAGCCCCAGCTATCCTGGAACTCACTATGTAGGCCAGGCTGGCCTTGAACTCACAGAGATCCGCCTGCTTCTGCCTCCCAAGTGCTGGGACTACAGGCGTGTTGCCACCACGCTTGGCTGATAAATAAAATAAAAAAAAATAGAACAATAAAATAAATAAACAATTCTGAGCCCCTTAAAAAAGGGAGAGGGGACTGGAGATACGGCTCAATGGTTAAGAGTACTGGCTGCTCTTGCAGAGGACCCAGATTGGGTTCCCAGCACCTACATGGTGGCTCACAACTGTCTGTAACTCCAGTTCCAGGGGATTTGATGCCCTCTTCTGACCTCCATGGGCATTGAATGGCATGGGTGCACTTACATACATTCAGGCAATACATTCATATACATAAAATAAAATTAATAAAACATTTAGAAAGATAATAAAATAATGCTAATGACAACCTAATTGCTGCTGTTTTATACCAGCTATTCCTTATTTTACAGAGGTGCTAATAGAGGCTCAGACAAGATGCCACACCAGCCCAGGGAGTCACAGCAGGCAAATGGTAGAGCCTGGATTTGAACTCAGTCCTGTCTGACTGCATTCTAGTTCATCTACCCGGGGTCATGTAGACATCTGCAGACCAAGTCTACAGCCTTCTTCTCACTGCAGAATTGTTCCTTCCTCTTCTCTTGTCCCTTCTCGAGTTGCCCACCCCAGTGGACTTGCTGGTGTTTTACAGGGATGACACACCACATGTGCCCAACGAGAGGCTTGGGGAGGCAGCTGTGTTGGGAATTGTGGAACGCCTGACCAACCTCATCAGAGGGGTCTTTCCAGGTAAGACCCCACCAATTGACCTCCACAGTGCTTGCTGAACCCCAGGTGGGGTTGGATCCTCAACCTGCAAAAAACACAGGAGGGAGGGCGAGAGACAGTTCCAGTTCCATTCTGTTTGTGCTATCCGCCTTCACTTTATTGTTGGTCTTGCCTGTCTAGTGTGGTAGAGTGGCTGAAATTGCAGGTATGTGAAGCAGTACAAGAAAAACAGCATCAACAACAACAGGCCTCAGATTTGATTCTGCCATACTTTAGACAGGTAATCTCTCTGTTCTCTCCCTGTGAAAAAGGGGAAATTATGGTACCTGCCCTGTGAGCTGTTACGAGGATGAAGTAAGAGTTTATTCACTCATTTAGTCAATCAACAAATATTTACTGAGCTTTTACTGTGGAAAGTGGGGACATGCAATGAGTAAAATAATGGAACAGTGTTGAACAGGGGGACACACTTTCATAAAGATAAAGCCTCTGCTTGTAAGGAGCTTGGCCCTCAGCAGCAGTGCACAGGTTTTTGTTTTGTTTTGTTTTAGGTACTGGGGCTAACCCTAGGGCCTTGTGCTTGCTAGGTTAGGCAGGTATTAGAATACCCCAGCCCTTTCTTTACTGTTTACTTTGAGACAAAGTCTCACTAAGTTCACCAGGCAGGTCTTAAATTTGTAATTCTCTTGCTTCAGACACCTGAGTAGCTGGAATTATAGGCTCCCACCACCAGGCTCATCTTAGATAGGTTCTTTTATTGAGCTTTTGTACATTTCATACAACAGTTCTTAATAAAATTTAGACCCCCTCCCCAATCCATGCCTTCCATCCTCTGCTGGAGCTCATGTGTCTTTTTTTTTTTTTTGTCTATTTGAAGCAGGAAGACCCAGCTGTCCTGGAACTTACTATGTAGACCAGGCTGGCCTTGAACTCACAGAGATCTGCCTGCCTCTGCCTCCCAAGTGCTGGGACTACAGGCGTGTGCCACCATGCCCAGCTCAAAATTTTTTCTTTTTGTTTGTGGTTTTTTTTGTTGTTTTTTGGTTTTTTTTTTTTTTGGTCTTTTTGAGACAGGGTCTCCCTGTAACTCCAGCTGTCCTGGAACTCACTATGTAGATAGGGGTGGCCTTGACCTGAGAGGGACCCCCCTGCCTCTGCCTCCCGAGTGCTGGGATTAAAGACATGCGCCACCACACCCATTTTTTTTTTTTTTTTTGGTGTTTTTCAGACAGGGTCTCCCTGTAACCTGAACTCACTATGTAGACCAGGCTGGCTTTGAGCTCATAGAGATCTGCCTGCCTCTGCCTCCCAAGTGCTGGGACTACAGGCATGCATCACCACATCCAGCCCACTAAACCTCATGTTTTCCACTATACATGTTGAGTCCTATTCAGGCAAGCATTTGTACCCAGATGCCCTTTCGTGCAAATTCATCCACTAGGGTCTGGTCGGCCTACTTGAGATCATCGGTATGGCCTACTCTCCCTCACCCAGTAGTGATCAGTCTCCAATAATTCCCGACTTGCTACCCATTTCCCTCACTCCACTCTGGGCCCTTGTCTGATTGAGTTGGCATGGGTCCTGTGCTTGATGCCACCATTGCCATAAGTTCATATGTGTAAGCTTCCAATGGCCTGAAAGCCTCTGCTTCCCTATGTTCCTAGACCAAA